GGCCACACGAGAAGCAGAGAACTTCTGCCGCATCCCTTGGGGCTTGCTTTGTTCAGCTGGGGGCTGTGTAAGGGCAAGGATAATCTTTGTGGACAGTTTGCTGTCCTCTGAAGATGCCCATGGCCACAGAGACTGGCAAAACGTTAGGAAGAACCACCTTCAGAACACGGCCAAGAAGCCCGAAAAACCCACAACAACCATCAGATAATCTTTGTGGCTTGAAGCACCATGGAATTAGGATTATAGTAGACTCCAACTTCCAAAATACCACTGCCTAGAAGAGATTGTGGAGGGTGGGGGATCCATATCCAGTCCTACCATCCAGAGTCGTAATGCTCATCTGTGCTGTGATAACATGGCTGGATTCCTGCACTAAGATGATAGGGAAGGAGGGCAAGAAGGGAGGGAGGAAGGAAGGAAGGAAAAAAGGAAGATTAAGGAAGGAGAATTAAAAGAAGGAAGGTTTTTCCTTCAAGGCAATGGGAAAATGCAGCTAGCAGGCTAGAATAAAAGTTACACCCTCTTATTATCTCAGTGGATTCTAGAAGCTTGCAGGCTCCCTATGAGGTCCTGGCCTCCCTATGTAGATGAGATGATTGTGGGAACGTCAAGGCCACCCTACCCCATATCTGAGATAAATTGGGAAAGCTCAAGTAAGTGGCAGAATTATTACTGGATCACACAGCCAACCTCCGTTGATAAAGTCCGTTCCCTAGCAGGCATGGCACCTTGTGTGACCTCCAGAGAGAGAGAGGAAGCAGACCCCCCCCCCGCCAAGACCTCTGAGGAGTCATTCTGTAAGGAAGAGACGATCCTGACATAAGGAGGCTGCCCTCATTAGGTGCAGAGCACATTTCTTATTGCAGAAGATATTTCCCATAACAAAGAGTGGGAGTAAGGATTTAATTTTTTAATTAAATATTTTTCCTGGTCCACAGCCCCTTTCTTGTAGCATTTATAGCGGAACAGCCCAGCAAATCTCCCCTTTTCTCAAAGCAGCCTTCGGATCTCCAGACCAGTTGCAAAACAGCTGTCAACAGCACTCAGGAAGAGGAAGGGGGGGGTCATCTCTGGCCTAAGTGGCAAAACTAAATAGGAAGCAGGACAAGGACCCACCCCGGATTTGAAATAGCACCGATAACAGATCATTGAGTGGATATACACAGTCCCGGGATGGCTGTTATTTTCTTTATGATTAGCACATGGACTTCGGCAAGCAAGTGGCTGGGAAGCCCCTTTCCTCTCCCCTAAACCACCCTCCGCAAAGCACAGAGGGAGGGGACACCACCGACGCGGTGCCAGGCTCAATTTTAATGGGGAACTGTTGTCGGTGTCTTTCTTAATCAGTAGTAAGGTCTGGACTACAAACCCCATCACTCCCAGCCAGCTGGGCCAAATGTGCATAGATGGGGAGACATAGGCAAACCCATCTGGGCAGCTGCAAGTTAGCGGGAGACTATGTGAGGCGAAGGGATTAGAAACATTTGGAGGGCCTAAAAGGATGCCCTGGCAAATGAAAAATGCGGGTGGCAGGAACAAAAAAGGAGACTCTTCTAAGCCTATATAGGCCACAGGAGGTCAGAAAAATCAGCTGGTTGCTAGTGAAGGTGATGAATTTGGTTTGCTTTTAGTATGACACTTAAAGGAACTACACAAGGTATTGCGTTCTCTATAATTATGTTATCATTGTAGTAGGGTTATACTCTACAACTAAAATAATGCTGGGCTTATTCAAGCTCTGTCTTATTGTTTGTCCTTGTTCCTGAAATTCTCTCCTTCCAGACTTAAGGATGTGATAAATTGGATGCCGTTTTACAGCATGCACCATGAAGTAAAACCTGCTTTGCCGGCTTGCCGCAACACTGCCTCGAACATCACCACAGTGTGACTGTTTAAGGTAGCATGCCCCAAAAGCTTATTTTCTTTCTGTTGAATATTCCCCCCCCCCCCCCCCATCCCAGTGAATGAACAGTTTCTGAAAAGGTGTCCATCTGCGGTTTAAAAAAAAAACACAACCCTTTGGTCTGAGTGCCATCTTCTGGCGAAAGGCAGAAAATGTTGGAAAATCTTAATTCCTGGTGGAATTATTAATATCCAAGCGGTAGCTGTGTTAGTCTGTCACAGCAAAAACCACAAAGAGTGCTGTGGTTCCTTGAAGGCTAACAACTTTCATTTCGTACACGTTTCTGTGAATTTTATCACTTCCAGATACATGGAGCATAGCCTCAAGACGTCAATCAATTATACTGGACTTCAGCCAAGACTTTTCCACACCTGGTAGAGGACAGACTAGGACTCCGAAGACCTGAGTTCAAATCCTTTCTTGGCCGTGGAATCTCATGGTGGCCTGGTGAAAGTGGTTAAAACCATTCGTTAAAATACCTTACCTTTCCTTACCTAAAATACCTGTCCTTGATTTGAAGGCTGATCCAGTCCAATAAGCTCTGGAAAAGAACCCAAACGGACTGGATTGGGGGCCTTGATGTTGGCCACCGTCTTGTGAGCGGCACTTAGATCACGGATCCCCTAACTGGCCAACAGATCCCCTGGTTGCCCGTTTCCCTGCTCCACTGAGACCCATTGTATGCTTGTTGTAAATGCTTCACACAGTGCATCTGTGTACACACACACACACACACACACACAGCATTTTGGTGCATCCTCCTTTTTTGGGGATTTCTAAGTGCTCCCCCAGCCTGCATGAAGAAGGCTCGCTGCCCACCCCCCAAGCTGCAGCCCCTCCTCTAAATAGGAAAATATCCGGCACAGAGAAGGAGCCATCCTTTTGTATTTATCTGACTTTTTATGTTGTAAACCGCCTAGAGTGGTCGTAACTGACCAGATAGGCGGGATATAAATAAATAAAATAAAATAAAATAAAATAAAACAAACAAACAAACAAACAAACAAACAAA